CGCCCAGTCGTCTTATACGCCGGCAAATACGGTAGATATTAAAATTTTAAAAGTTGACCAATGTGAAAAAAACACACTTTTCTTCTCTTTCTCACAAGCGAGTACATTTTGACAGTTACAAATATTAATAACAAACTACTTTTAACACTTTATTTATATAAATATAAAAATATAAATAATATATAAATATATCAAATATTTCAAAACATTTTAAGATCTTTGTTTCCACTGATAGTTTAAAAATCTAGGAATAGCCGAAACCGGTTTGGCTCAGTGGATAGAGCGTCGGCTTGCGGACTGAAAGGTCCCAGGTTCGATTCCGGTCAAGGGCATGTACCTGGGTTGCGGGCACAATAAAGTCTTTTGCTTTGTTGTATTGTGAGTTTGCATTTTATATTTGAAGAAAACCATGTTGTTAAGGCTGCCAGATAAAATACAGATGTTATTTTCTATTATTATTATTATTATTATTATTTATTATTTTGCTAAGTCTGGCCGCTCCACTGGTGTTACTCACCTTTACTTCTTCAGAATTGGGGCCAACAAGGCATTTAGGAGACTCAGTAAATGCCTCAGACATGTCTGAAGACTAACAATGGGAGCGGAAGCACTTATACTTCATTAACTTTGCGACCAAATGTACTATTCAAAGCATCAGTTATAGAAAAAATCGTTAGTCATTTTATTATGCAAACTCCTATCCAGCAGCTCGTTAAAAACATAATTACATAAACTGAAGATCAACTGTCACTTATTTAATTCAAAACACATGCTTAATTGGATATTTCAAATATTTTTATACCATAATAATTGCTACTAACAATATCCCTGTTGCACATATTCTGATTAGAATTTTCTAGGAGAGAGAAATTATGTCATAAAGTGTTCTTCATAAAGTAATTAAAACTGTTCAGATACCAGAAAAATTAGCAACTAAGCCATTTTTAATAAGGGACCTACGACACCCGTCTGAAGGAATGGGGTGGTTTTCTCTTAGAAATGTGTCAGTACATTGAAAATTAAATAGTCATGTTTACCTTCAGTATGTTGAATGGGGTCTTGTATAATTTTCTGGTAACATTCATATTGAGCAGTCATAATTTTATTTCTGGTAACACTCAACTTCCTAGATTCATTATGGCTCTGTTCTGATTCTGCGATGACAGGAATCTAAGGAATTAAAAAGAAAATTTCAGAATCATGCAAGTGTCGATCCAGGCAGTGGGTTCCGGCGGGAAACAGTCAGGGCGGAGCTTGGTCAACTGATTGTGGGGGGAGTCCCTGCTAGGTCGCATCTGCCGGTTCCCACAGTGGATGTCTCCTGTGTCGTGTCCTATTTCAGGTGATGAGCAAGGCGGGTCCAGGGCAGAGTAGTCTGTGCGTGGCCGTCGAGTCCTGGGGGGTTGATCCAGGACGCGCTGTGGGTGCAGACAGGGCCGCGGGCACCCCCTGCCCCTTCCCACCTGCTCCCTGAGTGCAGGCCAGGGGGTCCGCCCCAGCCCAGCCTCCGCTGTCTTCCGTACACGAAGGTCACATGGTCCCCGGTGACCGAGGGGCGTCTGTGGCCCCGATAATACTCGGAATTGCTGTCGTTTTTATAATTCTGTTTCGATCATCAAAATCGTGACAAGCTCATTTGTGACGTTGGTAAATGGAGTTTTTATTCCGTGCACATCAATGACGCTTTTAGAGAAGGTCTGTATTTATGTTCCTCCAGTTTAGTAGGACCATGTCAAGCCTCACTTCCATTCTAATGTTTGCATGACTTTTTCTCCCTGTTTTGTAATGTAAAATCCGTATAAACCTCTCTTCAACCTTATTTCTTTTTTTAAATACAGATTTTTAAATTTTTATTGTTGATGGTATTACAGATGTTTCCAGTTCCCCCCCTTTATCCCCCTCTGCCGAGCTCTCTGTAAAAAATCAATAAAAATATATATTAAAAAGAAAATCTGAAAGTCATACATCTATAGAAGAGAAAACCATGCAGTAACCGAAAGATGATGCTGTAAAATGATATTCAATGACATTCAGATGCTCATAATCCAATGAATATAGTCAATAGAATTGGTGCTTAAGATCCCCATTAATATGCTCTCTCTATGAAGTTGCAAGAAAGCCGTGTCCATGGGCCGTGCATATATGTGTATTAGTTCTTTGGTTGATCTCTCCTCGTCCGCCCACCCCCACATTGAGGCATGTCTGTCTGCTCCACGCCCCCTGCTTCAGGTCTTATTTTGTTGGCCAATTTGTTTTGTTCATTAGATCCCACACGTGAGTGAGATCACGTGATGCTTGTCTTTCTCAGATTGGCAGCCTCATGCTCCATTCTGCGTTATTTGTGTCGACTATTTCCATAAGCACTTATTCTTCTCTTCTTTTGCCCCCTGGTTCTTGGTGTTTCTGTTTTCTCGCAGGAGGTCGAGTTCAGGGAGGTCGGACAGTCACCCTCCCGGGGTGTGGCGCCCCCGCCTCCCCATCGATGGCCACGACTGAACAGGACCGCTCCCAGCCTCTCAGTTTCCTAGTAAACACGTAGGCAGCAGGCTCGCTGCACGAGTAGAAATGGAAACGCATTACAACATCAAGAAAATGCATACTTGTTCTCCTGCTCGCAGGAAGTTTATAGAGTTGCATAGAACCAGCATCATTTTTAGCCTTACTTAAAATAAAAGCTCAATCCTAGCTGGTTTGGCTCAGTGGATAGAGTGTTGGCCTGCGGACTGAAGGGTCCCGGGTTCGATTCCGGTCAAGGGCACAGGCCTGGGTTTCTGGCGTGATCCCCAGTAGGGGGTGTGCAGGAAGCAGCTGATCAATGATTCTCTCTCACCAGTGATGTTTCCATCTCTCCTCCCTCTCCCTTCCTCTCTGAGATCAATAGCAATATAATAAAAAGTAAATAAAAGCTCAGGTTTGCACACACTGAGAAATGGTCACAGTTCCTTAAATCGCGATGATCGGTTGGTGATCCGTGAGGGACGTCTCTGCCAGCCCCGCGCTGGCATGGGCAGCTCGCGGCCACGCTCGGTGGCGGTGGGACTGAAGCCGGTCCCGTGTCCTGAGCCCTGGTCCGGTTCCCGCGATGGCATGTGAGCAGGGCAGGGTGCCCACCGCTCCTGGCCTGGGAGTGTTTTCCAGCGCTCATGCGGACAGGAATGCGGCCTTGCTTTCCTTCAGGTTCAGTTTTCTGTGTTTTTGTTGAGTTTCTTTGTTTGCGTCTTTGCGGGGTTTGCTTGGAAAACCACAGGCAAAGTATTTGCTGGCACAGGACCGGAGGAGATCATGTCCCCCAGCTTCTCATCGGAGCATGAGCTGGGAGCCTGGCCACGGTTCTAGCGGGAGACACGCCGGGCCGGGCTGGGGTGGGGACTGCACCTTCCCACGGGCATGGCTTTCTGTCTCGGGGCTCCATTGGAATCTTTGCAAGAAAAATTCCAATGAATATGGTCAGCTTTTAATGTGAGACAGAGAGAAACATAAGCAAAATATTGCTGTAAAGAAACATGAAATCTGCCCTGGCTGGTCTGGCTCAGTGGATAGAGCACTGGCCTGTGGACTGAAGGGTCCCAGGTTCGAGGCTCCGTCCCCAGTGGGGGTGGGGGGGTTAAAATGTAACCGTTTCCCAGCTCGAGTCTAGTCTTTTAAAAAAAAAGCAAAGCTTCGCCCCAGCCGGCGTCACTCAGTGGTTGAGCATCGACCTATGACCAAGGAGGTTCCCAGGTTTGATTCTCGGTCAGGGCACAGGCCCGGGCTGTGGGCTCGATCCCCAGTGTGGGGCGTGCAGGAGGCAGCTGATCAAGGATTCTCTCGCATCATTGATGTTTTTATCTCTCCCTCCCTCTCCCTTCTTCTCTGAAGTCAATAAAAATATATTTTTTAAAAAGAAACATAACATTAAATGTGTGGGGCCCATGACCATCCAGGGTAGCAGTTGCTTTTTCGTCCCCCCTGCTCCACTCTCCCCTCCCAGCCCCGCATCCCCTGCGGAGACGGCAGAGCCACTGCACACACTCGTGTACACGCCTGCCCCGCGCTGGCAGCCGGCCTGCCCGGACACGGCACAATGCTTATCTGAATGAGAGGGTGAGGACGTGAACTCAAAACCCAGCGCACGATTCCAAATTGCGTTTTAACCGACGTAAGCCAATCAGCTGGCAGAATGGGAGGAGGACCAGCAGGTTAGCATCTGCCGTCTCAGACCCCACAGGCCCGGCTGAAGCAGCTGACCTACTGCGCGCGGCGGGCTGTGAGCCACCCTGTGCTTGTTTGCAAACTGAGCAGCACTTTCCTCTGGGGTCTCACATCGATGTGTCCATGTCCTTGTCTCACTCTGACCTGTCCCCACCCAACTACGTCACCGTCCCACCGTCCTGCTCCGGGGCAAAGGCCTTGAAGTGCACACAGAAGGGAAGTACGTGGTTGCTGTGCTGACCGGGTGTACACATGTCCTTGGTTTGTGCATCGAATCATGGCACGTCCTTTCGTGGCGATGCATCTTTGTCAGCGATAGATGTCTGGGCAATTAGAAAAGCAATGATCACAGCGAGGCAGGTGTATCAGAAAAAGGACGCTCACCATGAGGAGAGGCAGGAGGTACAGGACACACAGCACACGCCTTTTCTCCATCATCGAGGCCCCAACAAAATATGTATGTGATATAAACCAAACTGCAATAGAGAATGAAAAAAATATATTTCATCAACATTTATGAAATACATATACCTGGTTCTCAGCAGAAAATTTCTTTCAAATGACAATAACTTTGCTTTAAGGACTTGAGGAATAGTCTTATGTATTACAAAGTTAAGAGCATTATGGCTTAAAATACTAATGAGCTTAATTAAATACATTTCAATTTAATTTAATTAGTATTACAAACAGGGAAGCTTCTGGCATATACATTTTTAGTAATTAGAAAACATCTTGTTTTCTTTTCCTTAACCAAAATTGGGATAAAATAATTAAAGCATCAAAGTAAACATAAAAGCACCACTTTTGACGGCATATTTACTATAAAATGTATCTTTATTTCCTATAAATATTAATCTCATTTTTAATTTTTTGAGTTTTCAATACATTAAAGGGACAAATTGCTCTTAGGCCAATTTCTTGAGAATCAACATTCATATTTCATTAAAATGGCCTTACAATTTTATAGAAATGGCCTTACAATTTTATAGAAGTTATTCTTCACAGTTGTGGTGTTTTTTTGTTTGTTTGTTTGTTTTAACCAGGGAATAAACAATTCCCTAAGTCATGGACGTTATTAAGATTTGGTTGCAGAAGATAGACATACCAAACAAAAGCATTTCTGGTCAGCATTTCTAATAGATAGAATCCTGAACAATTGAAAAATGGTCCCTAACCACCACCCTGAGCTAAGAGCACGGCAAATAGCCATCGAGTGAAAGTTTTTTTTATCTCCTTTGAAAAACAGGTTTTACACATTTATCGTCATATTTTATGATGCTACCAGGACAGTCTGTACCTCATAAAAGGCTGTCAGGGGAGGTGTCTCGGGCACCTCCCAGGGGGTAAGCATCGCACACTTCACCCCGCCGTGCTCTTAGCTCAGGGTGGTGGTTAGGAAAGTTTCATGATTTTTACTACAGGGCGAGGGTGAGAGTAAGAATGCCAGAAGCCTTGCCCACCTGCTCTGTGTACTGTTTTATCATCAGGTGCCATGGAGCGTGCCAGGAACTGGCAAATAGAATCTCTGCCACTGCTCCTTCACCGATGACTCACCTGGAAGCAGTTTAGAGAAAGTGATAGCAGTCTCCCACACAGGGCTCCTCTCCTCTCTGCTATGCTGGCCTTAATGATGAGCTGACCTTAAGAAAAATATAACCAAAAAAATTAGACACATCGTATTAATTTTAGATAGGAAAAATCATGCATGTCGTAACAGAAGGAAAACATTAATTAAGCTTTTACAATTCAGTAATTAATGAGCTGATATTTTAGCTTTTATTACATTGACATGAGAGCAATCTAATTTTCTAATACTTACATGCACAGCTGTCTCCAGACTCAAATCACATTTTCTCTTGGATCATGTTCAACACTGTCTTGAAGAACTTCTTAAATGCTAGGGTCATGACCTAAAATATTGAGTGAGATAGTAATTAATATCATTTTAATGGGCCAAAATTATTTCCATGATAAATTGAAATTTTCAAAACAAAGACCACTATGAAAATATTTTTATTAAACTATTCCAATTTTTAAAAGTCTCTTTCTCTTGCATTATATTTGAGATTTGTCACACATATATGTTGCTTTTCCATTAGATAGAGAAACATCAATTTTCATTTATCCAGGATACCAGGGATACTGAAAAATCTAACAATATTTTATCCAAGTAAACGTCAAAGAACTCTAATATGATAAGAAGATTTTAAAATTAAACTCGAGTTTAATCTTCCTTTGAATAACTTGCTTTGTCTAATCTTTGTTTGGGATGTGGTGGTGTCAGTTTCGTGGATCTCTGTTTCCCTTGCTGGTATGGTTTCTCAGAGCCAGGAGCCATTTCTTTTAAAAAAAAAACACACACACACACTTATTGATTTCAGAGAGGAAGGGAGGGAGACAGATAGAAACATCAATGATGAGAGAGAAACATTGATCGGTTGCCTCTAACATGCTCCACACTGAGGATCGAACCCACAACCCAGGCCTGTGCCCTGACCAGGAATTGAACCGTAACCTCCTGGTTCATAGGTCGATGCTCAACCACTGAGCAACACTGGCCAGGCGCCAGAAGCCATTTCTGATTGACCTTCGTATACTTTGTGACTGGCAGGTAACTTGCATTTGTTGTATAAATGAATGAAAAAATGAACTGATAAAGCACTTTAGGATTTTAAACTTAAAAACAAGAACACTAATCATAACTATTGATGGTCATTTATTTTACTAATGCTTTCATAAATGCCTTCCAGAAGGCTTTACATAGTGCTGGAATCTGTACTGACAATAGAAATTGGGGGCGGGGTGGCGGGGTTAGCAGCATGTTTAGTTTCTTACACAATAAAGTCCTGAAACTACTCAGATTTCAAGTTCTGTGGTTGGTTGGACATTGAACAAACTGTAGTTTACTATACTGACTTGAAAATCCTAGCAATTAAGCCAAGATTAAAACAGTATTTCATATTTTTCTGTAGATATTATTCTATTTGGAAACCAGATAGGTTTTTATGAAACAATTCCTTGATGAGTTACACGTGAGTAAATATTAAATTACCTTTAATAAGTGAAGGGTAAAGCCCTTCAAAAACATGTTTGGAGTTTTTCCTGAAACCAACATATTTGAAAAATATTTCACCCAACACTCGCAGTTATTTTTGTTGCTTATCTGGTGGGCTTGGAGATCAAAGTCCCAAAAGGTATCCTAGTGAAACATCCCTTGGTGTGACTACATCATTCTGGCACTTGAGATATTTTAAGAGGACGTTGTTCAACTCACAAAATATTTGTCCTTGTAAGTCATTTCACTTTCATAGCTTTCCTTCCCACGTCCCGGCGAGCTGGAGCGCGGGCCCCCCGGGGGCGAGGCTGTGCTTTGGGCTGCGTAGACGTGTAGCACCCCTAATGAAGGGGGCGGGCTGTGGGCCCCGGGCCTCAGGGGCAGCAGCGAGTGCGGGTGGCAGTCTCTCAGACACACGGGGAGCACCTGCCCATTGGACCTGGGGATCCATTCACTGGCGTCGTCTACTCTACAGAGGACCAATCCAATTTCCTCGCCAGGGACACGTGGTGGTGAGAAGTGGTTCCGGAGGAATCCCCCTTTCACCAAGAGTTCTCTAGAGCAGCAACAGATGCCTCGTGCAGGTAACGCCATGCAGATAGAGCTGAAGGTCCATTGAAATCGAGTCCCACATCGGTATAGATGTGATGGCATGGCTGCTATCAGGAGATGTATCTGAATTGTATTCCTCGGTTGAGCTCTTGGTTCTTTGCGTATTGCCTCTAAGATGTTCATTCAGCAAGTGGTTCTCTCTTTTTAATTTTATAATTTTTTTAAAATATATTTTTATTGATTTCAGAGATGAAGGGAGAGGGAGAGAGAGAGATAGACACATCAATAATAACAGAGAATCATTGATTCGCTCTGCCTCCTGCACGCCCCACACCGGGGATCGAGCCCACCAGCCAGGCATGTGCCCTGACCGGGAATCAAACCATGACCTCCTGGTTCATAGGTCGACGCTCAACCACTGAGCCACACCGGCCGGGCCAGCAAGTGCTTTTTTCTCCAGGATTCGCCTTATTCTAGATTTATCTTTCCTGAAATACATCTGATGGTAACTGCCCAGCGCAGGTGAGCAAATCATTGTAAATCTCTTTCAGATCTCGTTAACTTCTTTGTGAAATGTAGCAGCGCTTACACAGCTTTGAGAAGAGGCGAAGTATTTAGCTAGAGGTCAAGTTGGATGACTAACTCTACTGCGGGTTTCTTTTCAAGTGCGCTTAGGGTTGTTTGGTGAGAAAAGCACTTCATCGAAACTGAGAACACTCCGTTTAAACTCTTAAGTGGCTTTGTCATCACAATGGTACGAGCAGCAGTTACTGGCAATTTCTCTTTCTAACCGCTAGCTCCCTGCTTCCCACCAGAACTATTCTATGTTCACATCTCAAAATTAAACAAACTGGGAGATTTGGTGCTACTATTAGAGACAAAGTAATTTCTTTAGTGTACACATGGGATGGAGAATAGCCTTTTCCTAAATAGACGGTGCCTCTTGCCCAAAGAATCACCAGCAGAAAATAAAAGTGATTTATTTCATCACAGAAAGAACTTGGAGAAAGACTGTCTTACGATCTCAGATAACATCCTAGTCTCTCAGGTCTTTATGGAATGTTAGTCTGGTTTCATTGTTTTATGGAATGTTAGTCTGGTTTCATTGTTTTATGGAATGTTAGTCTGGTTTCATTGTTTTAAACTGTCATAGATCTCACCACGAGACACGCTTCACAATCTTAATGCTGAAATCACAAATTCTAACCAGTCCTCTTGACTTATTTCCATGTAAAAGCATGTTTTATTCTACATAAAAATTATAAACAGAAGTGACAATTATGATTTATCAAACACAAATATATAAACCCTACAAATGCATACATGCCTTGCAAGCCTGCTTCTTCCCCCCGATTTTTATTATTCTTGTGTATACTATTAATTTCCTTTTCTTTATCATGAGTCTTATTTTCAGTTGAATTGCCTAAGCCTAATACTAAAAGTATATGTTCAATCCAAGATTAAGGGGGAAAAAATACAACTTGCATCTTCCACTCCTCCATTTCCAAAATATCTTTGATTTTTGTGGGCCCGAAGCCATATCATTTCTCCATTTATTCATCCGGTCTCTATAAGGTTGGCTAAGAAGCATTCCCCACGCGCGGCTGATCTGCCATCAGGTATCCCGGCCGGCGCGGGAGCAAAGTGAGGCATTTGCTATCTGCACGCGCCTCCGTGGATGGTGTGTGACACACGCTGCAGGTCCCCTGAACCCAAACAGGACTCAGCCCGTCTCCCTCCCACGCCCCCAGCTGCCTGGCAACCGGCCCCTCCTGTCACTCGGCGCGTGTGGCAGAGACGGTGCCGCTGCCAACAGCTCCAAGTGCGCCATCCTCACCGCCTTCTACCCTGTCCTCACTCTTCTTGGCTTTTTCTTTTGTGGCAAAATTGAAGTCTTACAATTATTCTTGCGAAGAACTGTCTTTCCTTCCAGCAGAACCTTCTTAGAAAGAGATGCCCGTGTAGATTCTCATCTCCCACCCCCAGCCTGGCCCGGTGTCCCTAACACTTTCAGGATTCGAAGGGGTAAGGCAGACAGACTATAGAGGCCTCCTCTCCCTGCGGCTCTCTCACTGCCCTGAGGGCCTCAGACTCCGCACCCTTTTGTGCCCTGTCGCCTGGAGCTCGGGTTATGTTTTAGGCTCTGGAGTGAGCAGGTGCCCAGTCACTGATGCAGCAGGAACCAGTGTCCCTCAAAGTGGAACCCCACGCGCCCCGCCCTGCGCGTAGCCACCAGAACGTCCGGAGCATGTGGGGCCCCACCTGACCCTCTGAGCCCGAACCACTGGGGGAGGAGCTGGAGCCTGCACGCTCGGTGAACACAGGGAAGCTCTTGGCCTGTGAACTTGGGGAAACACAATAGGAAGACAGCACCTCCCCAGCCTCCTGACCCCCCAACACTCTTCACTCCTCTGTCTCTGGGTCCTGGCCCGTCGCAGAAAGAACTATCATGCGTAAATGAAGAAAAGTGTTGTGCAAACGCCTCCAGGCACAATGAACGCCGGGACGTGCAGGGCGAGTGGCTCAGCGGCGGTGAGAGCCGCGTGGAGCGTGGATGCCCCTCAGGCAGGAGCACAGGGCAGGAGTGGGACGCGCACCACGCCCGCGGCTCCCGCCCTGCAGAGAGGCCGCACGGAAAGTGCGTGTTGAGCAAGTTACTTACAGGATGCATTTGGTCAAGGAAGAAAGATCGTGGCCTGGATTCTACTCCCGGGAATTTAGATTCCGTTCCTCTTGACGGGCCCGGGGTGAGGTCCAGGAGATGAAGGTGGCCCTCAAGCTCACAGCCGGCGGGGAGCGGGGGTTCAGCTCTACAGCCGAGAGGAACTGATTCTGCCAACAGCCCGAGTGAGTCCGGAAGAGGCTTCCCTCCCAGAACCCCCAGAGAGAGCACAGCCTGCCAGCACCGTGGCTATGGCCTGGGGCCTTGAACACTAGACAAGCTCACGGGACTCCTGGCCCATAGAGCCGGGAGACGGTCACTGTGTGTCGTGAGCTACTGCATTTGTGGTGATTTGTTACAGCTGGACGAGAAAACGAGTACAAATCCTTAGCTATGAAAAGTTATACTTTCCCATCAAACCTAAGGGCTGATGTTCTGCTTCCCGCCTGGGCAGTCATTCCTCTGAGAGCACACTCCCCGTGGCACCCCGCGAGCCCCCCCACTGGCAGGGTTTCCTGCCCGCCCTCCCCAACTGGCTGTGAGATTGTGACAAAATGAATGCAACTTTTCGCTGCTTGGTTTACCCAACTAGGAAACAAGTAGTGACCTTGATCTTTTTTATTTTATTTTTTAATT